TGCGGGGAGGGAGCCATTTTTGCACACTCCTTACAGTGACCTGCTGTCTCCACCTACCACCTCTTGTCACCTTCCTTTTCCCACCACAGCACATGAGTCTGCCTAAAAACTGGAATAGACAATGCTACTTCCCTCTGTATTTCCCAGGTATCTTTCAGCATAGCACATAGAGGTTAGGGGTAGTTAGAGGTCATGACAGGGATGAGGGCAAGGCAAAAATACACTGCCTGAGGCCATCACGTCCCCTCATCTCATTGGAAAGGAAGTCATGGCTCTCCGTCTCAAACATATACCATGTAAATGAAAAACATGGCACTTCTGGGAGAAAGGCCTAAAGACTAGTTAGTTTCTGAACATTTCTGCAGTACGGTCTTACTTCTTTTTAATTGCAAGTTGAATTCCCATCTGATGCTTTGACTTTGTGGCACTCCTTTCACAGTAGAGCTTTTACCTCGTAGTTTTCAGGATCAGACCTGCTCCATGCACTCCACATTTTCTTCAAAAGGGGGCCATGCCGCCTCGTGTCATGCACTTCATCATTAATGATGCCCTTCAAAAAAATGTTTGTGTATGAGTAGTGACATTACAATGTCATTACATTCTCAAAAAAAAAAAAAGGTCTTGAACTTTGAACCGGGCACCCTGGCTGGCTTGGAGCTAGGCATCCTTTTCCTCATCCTAAAAGGCAAGTAACATAAAATGTTCAAGTATTTTCAGTTTTCATTGCTGCACAGTGAATCATAGTCATTAATTAATCTGCTCACCCACAAGCATAATAAATACAGAAAGCGACTATGGGTGATGTTCACCAGATTGAGTTTACAGTAGACTAGTTTGAGACAAACTAAAATAATACTTACCTAATTCAGGGTTTCAATAAATTGTTTTTGCAGGGCTACAAGGTCCTCCTGGGGCAACTGGTAGACCAGGTATGTATTGTAGCAAATATGGTTAAATATCCCAGTAATCCTGCTAGCTCTTGCCTGATTCACCTTGCCCTTGTTAGCCTCCCATTGGGGAGGGCGGGATATAAATGTGAAAAATAAAATAAATAAATAAATTCTGCTTGCTAGGAGGGGGATGGACAAGCATTCATCAGAGGAAAGAGAACTACTTGCACCCAGTTTTGTCTTCTCTCAGGCTTGTTGTGTGTTTTCTGATTAGAGAGAGCAATAGAGCTCCTTCCTCTTCACTTTCCAACTTGTTCTGCCATTTATCTGCAGGTTTCTGGTCACAACCCACTTCCTGCTTTCTTTCTTTTTTTCATAAGTGGTCTTTATTCACAAACAAGTTAATGTTCATTTGAGGAGAGTTTTCTGCTGTTCACAGGGAACAGCTGAGGATATAAGCTGACTCATTGCCACCTTTTCAGCAGGTCTGGCCCACTTTCTGTTTTCTCCACTTACACACACACCAGATTTTGGGTGACTTTGTTAACATGGGAAGCTCCATATATGTTCAAGGAGAAATTCAGTGATCATTTTTTTAAATGTTGAAATAGATGCTTCTGAACAGGTGCGAAAATTGATACACCCAAATAATAGAAGTTGTAAAATATGGTGTTATTTTATTGCACTCATTTTGCACTGCCTAATTACAAAGTTTTGCATTAGGTGTTTCAAGACCTGGTCAAAGAGGTCCACAAGGTACTCCAGGGCTCAAAGGAAATAAAGGAGAGAGAGGAAAACATGGCACAAATGCTATTGGACCACCAGGATTTCCTGGATCTCCAGGTAGACCTGGCCCAGCAGGATCACTAGGTTCTCCAGGAAAACCAGGTAGAGCAATGTAGTTGTATCATTGTGTGTATATGTGGTCAGAATGGTTTTGCCATTGTATCAGTACAACTTGGGCATTATTGCACTGTTTACAACCGGACTCTTAGCCAATGAAAATGCCCAGTTTCACAACAACAAAAATAAGACCCAGGTGAGTTGAATATTGAAGAAAAGAAACTGTGTTGAGATTTTCCAAACCATACCACCTGATATATGAACAAAGAGCCAGTCCTGGCTTTCCTCCACCTCATTGAAGTATTGAAGCAAGTGTTGCTTCAGAACAGTCCAGGAGGCATCATCTTTGGCTGTGATCAAACGGGCACTTTGGCCCAACACAGCCACTCCTCCCCTTCAGATCAAATGGGCTCAGTCAGACAGCTGCATCTGTCAGGCATTCCCCCAGCCATACTTATCCCATCATAGGACAACTTGGAGCCGAGTTAAAAAGGCACCACATCACAAGTGGTGTTTCCGATTCCCTGCGCGGTCATTGCGCATGGCCAAATGTCTGGATGTGGGACAGTGTGTGCAAAATGGATTTGGCAGTTTGAACCTGCAGATCCGTTCTGCTACTGGGGAGGTGTTTTCTTTAAAAATTGCCTATATGTGCATGCATGAATTCTGAAAATTTTTGGCAGCGCACTCCATGGCTGAGGCACTGCAATAATGTGGATGCTTTACCACAGGATGTCTCTGTGGGTAACCCACAGCAGGGTGTGCTGTGTGGCTGATATGCCCTGCAACACTTTCAGTCAGTTCAATTAGAGGCGGTACCATATCGCGCCAAGCTGCCAGTGTGACCACGGTCTTTGTGTCATCAGAAACAGTTGCTTCCATCAGAGAATGGCTTGGGACCTCATTACATTTTTCTGATTGGTCCCATTGGTCATGACAAACCATTTTTTGGTAACATCTGCTAACTGTTCTGCAAATGTCAAAAGTGCCCAAATGTTTAAATGATTTGGCAACCCCTGTTTTGTTGTATTATATATATATATGATTATTATTTTGGTATGCAATGATTTCAATATGAGAATAAAGTTTCAGAAAAGAATATAAGAAAATTAACCAGGAACAGATTTGTTTAATATTGGAATACAAAACTTTAAATGTTCAGAGATTGTCTTTGTTTTACTCACTATAATCTCCTCCCCCCAGGGTATTATGTGCAATAGCAGAAAAGGAAATTAGTTATCAAAATGCGTTTTGATAGTAAGCCAATAAATGCTACAGCTATCTGATATGCCTGTTAGCTTCCCAAAATGTTAAGAATTGCTACTAAATGGCAACACCCAATGAGTTTCTGACATTTACTATATTATTCGTACATATAGTTTGGGATTAGTTTCTGTCTTTCTTCCATATGCAATGATATTTCATGAATGCAGCCAAAACTGAACTTCCTTTAAGCCCATGTGGAAACTAGGATCATAACTGCTTGCAAGGCATAACACTCTATTTTTGTCTATCTCACTCAAAAATAGGTACACTAACTTTTAAAAAAGGACCACCAGGACGAAATGGGAATCCAGGATGCATGGGTTCTCCAGGACTTCCAGGAGAAAGTGGAGCTAAAGGTTAGTTATCCCACAAGCAAATATCTTTCCAAATTTAAACAACTTAAGATACCAATCAGAGATGTTAAATATAGGCCAAACACACAATACCCTGGGCCAAATTAAACATGATAGTGAACTTTAAAATAGGGCCTGCCACAGGGAGCTCTTTCCTTCCCTTGAACCTTTTCAAGTGCCAAAACAGCCACGGAGGGTTGGGCCTCCCCCAGCTGTTTTGGCATTTGAAAAGGTGCAGGGGGGAACATCTCCACACTGCGGACCCTCACAGCATTTTTAAATAATTTTGGTGAACTCGTGGTGATCATAAGTTCGCTATCACATTTAGTTTGGCCCTTAGACTCTCAAGATTTATTAGGCAAAGAATGTGTTTATAGTCTTATTTATCATGCTAAGAGTAGTGGGACATTATTCTACTTCTACTCTGAGCTCATATAAACTACATTTTCCCAGTGATAAATTATTTGTTGGTAAGAAGAAGTTTACCACATGCCGAGTATGTAGTAAACTGTGTGGTAAATGGTCACTTGTACAAGCTCTCCTGTTTCTCATTGCTGAAAATACCGAAATATACTCTTGGTGTATGTTACTGTGGTGCCAGATTACCTGATAACACTAACAACTTTTTAGCCACGTTGATAGATAAAAATTAAGTATGGGAACATTTTACCACAGCAACTTACTCCCAGGAACTTCTATGCCAACAGATACAGAAAGCATGTGCAACAGGGGATTAGATGTACAAACATGATTCCAATTCAGCATCCTTACTCTTAAATAAGTAGACTTACCTGAGGCACTCTGTGCTAACAGTAGAGAGACAATTTGCTACTATAACCAGTAATAGACACATAATTTTATTACAGGTGAAAAAGCAGGCCCATGTAACCAGTGTACCTATTTTATTGGAGCACCTGGCCCTACTGGTGTTCTTGGGCCAGAAGGTCAACAAGGAGTCAAAGGTAAAAGGCAGCAGCATCAATAAACTATAGCAGAAGGGGTTTTTTTAATATATGGGGGAAGAGGCAAACTTCTCAATTGACTGTATATTTCAGTTTATAGAATATTTCTGTAGTGAGAAATGTGGCTGCACGTGTCTGTGAATGCGTTCACCCGTGCCACCCACACTCTCCTTTGGTTCGTGTGTCCCCTGAATGCTGCCTCCTTACCAAAGGCAAAGGTGCAAGCTTGGAAACCACTTAACGCTGGCAGAGACACTCAAACAAAGGTCTCTTCTTAAAATAAAACTCATCTTTATTAAGAAACAACCAAGGTCTACCAGGCAAGTGGCTAGCAAGATGCTATGCCAGCTACCAACACAATACAATCATATTTCCTAAATGCTGATAGCGAGAACACAGAAATAAAACATGCAAGCAAAGTTTTCCCCTTTAAAGCATGTAGAAAACGAAAGGCCTTTTGGGCTGAACTCCTAAAGCTTCTAGAGAGTAATGCCTCTCCTGATTTTTCAAGAGTCAGCAAAGGTCTGTTGAAATTGACCAGCATTTATACAAAACGTAAATCAACGTTTGATGTTGAGATTACAGACAGGAGATTGTTTCTCACATTTCAAAAGTTACATTTTGTTTACAGGACCAAAACGCCTAAATTCTAAATGACAGTCCTTTGAGGATGTCTATGTCATTGTTTTTCCTGGTGTTCCCCACATTGAAGATAAACCATTCTTTAATGTTATCTCTGAGATGAAAGTGGGGGTATGAGTCCCTGTATCTCAGGAGTTAGTTTGCTTTACGGATAGACTTCAGGATTGAAGTCTGCAGGGTGTTGGCTTCAGGATTGAAGTCTATCGCTGCCCAAATGGCCTTTCCTGTTAGATACATTTTATTGCCTAGAATATTGAGTCTCACACCTATGGTAATTTAATTTCATTCAGGTCCTGAGAATGGAATGTGTGAGCCTTTGCCTACGTGACAGAGAGGGGTGCTTTGCCTTAAATGAAAGTTTTGCAAAGAATCATGGGGTTTGGTTCATTGAAGCAGGCCAAGCCTGTCTGCTGCTTTGCTAGCAAAGACAGAGACAGATACATGCATTTTATAAACTATTTGGTTCATTTTCAAACCCCAACCTATATTTCTAAAATTTCTTACCATAATTTCATCTTGGCCATTCACAGCACCATCTCAAACAGACTTAGTTAAAATGGAATTTGATGAATTCATAGATGATAGATCTGTTGGTATAATTAAAGAAATAATACAATACCAAGACAATAAATTAGCCATGAAAGCTAAATAAAACCTCTGTGATCTGCCTGAGTACCAGTTGCTGAGAACAAACAATGTGAAGCACTGTTGCCGTCATTCTCTGCTTTAAGGGGTGGGGGGTTTAGAAGCATCTGCCAAGCCAATATTTGAACTAGGAAAATCCTGGATCTAATTCAACACAGCTTAACTGTTAATTTATTAAAATACATTTATCTAGCCTTTCCTGCCTACCAATGCGGGATAAAGATTGCTCTCAAGATTAACAATCAATTAAAAAAAACATAGCAAAATGAAAATACAATCACTGATAACATAAAAGACCATATAGGTGACTACTGCTGCCATTAGCCAAAAGTGCCCCTAAAACTATTGCCTTATTAGTTTTTCTAAAAGCAGGGAAAGCAGAAGTAATCCTGACCTCCAAGGGCTACAGGCTGCCACCAAATGAGCACCGCTGTGTAAAAAAAATCTGTTCTCACCATAGTGGGAACTACAAAAAGATGCTGACAGTCCAAGAACAACTATCCTATCCATTTAATACTTATAACCAGTTTCTTCTTCCTTGTATGTCTAACCAGTGAACCTTGCTTAGATGTGTTTGATCACAATTTGGTTCTGCTCACCACCTCTTTTGATGGTGGCATTTGGGGCATCACAAGCCACTTGTAATCCTCTCTACAACTACCCCCAGATTAATTGGATCAGGATTTTAGAATCTGTACATAACTATATTTATGAGCAAGCTTTAATTAGACTTAGGCTGCGGTCACACGGAGCATAAGCCACGCTACAGAGACGGAAGAGAGGCGGAGTTTCCTGGCGCGATCACATGGCAACATCTGGCAAGTGTAGAGCTCCCGTCGCTAACCCGTGCCTAAACGCCAAAACAGCGGAGTAAAAAACTAGTACCTTGGAGGTACTAGTTTCCGGAAACAGCGGGGCAAAGGGCGGGCGTCTGATCGCATTTCCTGAGGTAGTTCCGGCACCCGCCCATGTCCCCTAGCTAGAAGGTGTGTTTTTTTTCCCCAAGTCTCCACGGATGCGCAAAAGCAACCAACGGAGCATGCGCAAACGTTAGTTTAATAAAAAAAACAACCCACACAACTTACGTCATGCAGAGAAGAGGAGAGCAGCCTGAAGAAAGCCACAAAGAGCGCACGGCTTGAGGCGAGCGACAAATAGATAGGGGGAAAGGGGGCAAGGCAGAAGATACAGCGGCTGAGATGAAGCCCAGAAGAGGGGGTCGCGGTGGCAGATTAGGAAGTCTCCTTGGGGAAGGGGCGGTCAGGGCGGAGGGGGCTGAGCCATGCTGCTTTGCCCTCTTCGCGCGCCCCACCAGCCGGCTCCCCGGACTGTTGCCCTTCCAGAACTACTGCCCACCCCCTGCCTGCCTCACTGGTGGGGAAAACGCCGAGCCCGACACGATGCCACACCACCCAATCGCCAGCTGGCCCCTCCTCTCCCCAGCGCCGCTTGGCCAGCTGTCTCTGGCAGCCCCCTCCTTGCCTTCCCTCGTGCGCGGCCCCCGCTTCTTTGCCCCAAGGCCCCACTTCTGTGTGATCCGCACCTCTCCCTAACCACGGGACCTCCATGGAATCTCCACGGGACCTCCATGGGAGGTCTGATCGCCCAACCGCGCTTTAGTTTTCCCCGGGGCAAACAGCTACGCTTCCCCCCCGCATTTTCCTGGCTGTGTGACCGCAGCCTTAGTTGAGATTTATTTTCAAGTAAATACACTTAAGTGTGTGTGTGTACTGGTCCAGTCCTCCCGAGGTGCAAGTCCTGGTATTCAGCAGGGCAGTCCAAAGGCAGAGAGTGCAGAGAGAGCAACCAACGTCTAGTCAAAAGTCAGGAGTTCCAGAGAGTAGGTTAACAAAGTCCATTCTAGGGTCAAGGGGTCCAGGCAGCAAGTTTAAGTCCAGTCCAGGGTCAAGGATTCCAGAAAAGCTGGCTTTCTGTGTCCAGTCCTGGGTCCAAGGTTTCAGAGATCTGTTAACAACAAGGTCAATGGCTCAGTAATGAAGTATATTTGTTGCATCCACAAACTGCTGCTTCTCTTGGCTGATTTTATAGCTAAGCCTTAATGAGCCATACTCAGAGCCAATTACTTGGCAGTCATCCAGAAACTACTCATCTATCTCATCAGTTGACAGCTGACAACAGGCCAGGAGAAGATGTGCTCTCTTTCTCCTTACCTGCAACTCTGCACGCTGTTGACAGCGCCGGCACTACATGGATGTGGGGGAGCCAGTTGGGCTGAGAGTTGCCTCTGCAGGCTTGTTTCCTGATTCAGAGCTGCAGGGTGTTGGCTTGGCCACAGTTGTGGGCTGTGAGTTATGATCAGTCAGTGTTGGCTCCACCGCAGCTGTAGGCTGTGAGTTATGATCAGTTGGTAACTCGATCTCTTGTTGCTCATCTGCTGGTTCAGGACCAGCTACAGCAGATCCGATGAATCCTCACTGTCACTGATCACAGGCTGACCTACAACACTGAGACACCAAAGTACACACAATCTTTTTAACGTGATGTCCTTTGAAGTATCAAATCCTTCATTTTCACAGGAAGGTGAAAGTATATCCCATACATCTCTCATTTCTGATCTCCTGTTTTATCACAGCCGTATAAAAATAAATAAGAAATTACACTTGGGAAAGATTGTGAAGGAACTCCCATAGAAATACTGGTGTAATTAATGTGGTGCCAACATGCAGTACTTCAAAGCAGATGTAATATTTTCCAAGTACGATAAATATATTCCAAAGACACTGAAAAAGACAATATTTGTATTCTTAGGAACCCCGAAATGAAGAAATACTAATATTCCAGTAATGAGCCTTTAATTTTCTGTACCATTGATGTCACTCTGAGAATACACATTTAAACTGTATAAGCACCAGTAGTATATGCCTTATTACTTTAGCCTGATTATCTTTTCCCTATTTCTTCTCCTAAGTCATGCTGTTTCCATCATAGGTGGGGAAGGAAAAGTTGGCCCTAAAGGATCCCAAGGAGTCCCTGGGAGTCAGGGGTCTCCTGGAATTCAAGTAAGATTTATATATTAGCAGATGGTTAGCTTGTAGTTAGTTTTAAGTAGTGGGCAGCTCTCTGTTAGGAAGGTGGGGGGTTACCTAAAATCTCTCTGTGTGTGAGAGTATGTGTGTGTATAAAGTGCTGTCAAGCTGCAGTCAACTTATGGCAACCCCAAAGGGTATGTCATTACCTTCCTCTGCAAAGTCTTCCTTGGTGGTGCCCCTTCCAAGTACGAGCCCTGCTTAGCTTCCAAGATCTGAGTGGCTTGAGCTGTACTACCATGCCACCTTCCTTCCCAGAATCCTTTGTATAATTGAGCAAATGGAGCTCTGTGAATAACCTGGGCTACATCTCTATATCACTGGATATTACAGTGTTGTTGGGAGACATTACTGGTTAGCTGGATTTTCCTGTATAGGCAATCCAAACCAACTGTAAGTGATTGCTACATTGCAAGTGATGTAGGAAAGTGATGCACGCATTCTTGGTGCTTGGGGGGGCAACTGTGGGAGGGCTTCCAGTGTCCTGGCCCCACTGATGGACTTCCTGATGGCACCTGGTATTTTTGGCCACTGTGTGATAGAGTGTTGGACTGGATGGGCCATTGGCCTGATCCAACATTGGCTTCTCTTATGTTCTTATGCAACAATAGTACCATATCTAATGATGTGTGGATGCAGCCCAGGGAGGCTTTTCTCTGCTATAGGTAACACTGGAAGAACCTGCTTCGCATGTGGTCTTTGTGTATTGATTCATAATCATATCGCTGGACGTGACACAGATACTGTTAACACGTGTCCTAGGGTCTTCCTGGTCTTCCAGGAGAACAAGGCTATAAAGGATTGAAAGGTCTGCCAGCGTATGCACAATCAGAAGGTCCCAATGGAGACACAGGAGAACCAGGTCACAGAGGATGCACAGGAGAAAAAGGTGCAGATGGGTTACCTGGAAAACCTGGGTTGAAAGGTTCAAGAGGTTCTGTGGGAGATCGGGTTAGTACATGTCACTTTCACAAATAGTTATGCCATGTACAGCCTTATTCATTTTGTATATCTTTAGATGTATTGCAAAATGCATAAAGATACAAGATATGTTCACTGTACCTGTAATAGCTTACTTTAGATCTTTTCCCCACTGATAAAAGAATTTTAAAGCTGCTCCTAGTAACTTGTGATGATCAAAATAAAAGGTTATGTTATTTATTTTCCCTTCACATAGATTTGTTCAACCATAGTAGTGCGACATAAGTAAATGCAAAGTCTGCATTGAGCATCAGACTATTTATTAAAGCAGAGCAGTTCTGCTTGTCAAGGATATCTTCACATTTCTTCAGTCATAGACTCACAGAATCATAGAAACTGGAAGGGGCCATACACACCATCTAGTCTAACCCTTTGCTCAATATAGGATCAGCCTAGAGCATCCCTGACAAATATTTGTCCAGATGCTGCTTAAAGACTGCCAGTCTAGGGGAGCTCATCACCTCCTGTGGCAGCTGATTCGAACAACTCTTACTGTAAAAAAGGTTTTCCTAATATCCAGCCCTTAATTAAAACCCATTATTGCGAATCCTAGCCTTTGCTGCCAACAGGAACAGCTCCCTGCTCTCTATAAGTGACACCCCTTCAAATACCAAAAGAGAGCAATCATGTCCCATCACAACCTCCTCTTCTCAGCCTTTTCTCATAGGGCTTGGTCTCCAGGCCCCTGATCATCTTCATCACTCTCCTCTTCACCTGCTCCATTCTGTCCACATCCTTTTTGAAGTCCTTCCCAATCTTTCCTGTGATCGTCAGCGCTAAGTAGAATTTCTGCACTGGGGTGCTATGTAATAATGATAATATATCAACAATTATAGAGAGTAGTTCAAAACAAAACCAATGTGATACTTTTTATTAAGACCAGCCAAAATGCTAAAACAGTGTGCAAGCTTCCTGAATTCATCAGGCTGGATGTAAAAGGGAGGGGGAATCTTGGGTATAGTTGATAACAAGTTGTAATTTTGACTTCTAGGGAAAAGATGGCTGAATCGATGGCAGCCTCCAATTCTATATAGGATAAGAAGAGTTTGCATTAAGAGGCAATACAACCATAAGTATAACAACAGCATAAGTGTTTTTAGTGAAGTGTTAGTCCATAGAGTTCAGTAGGGATTACTGCCAAATAAGTGTGCATAGAATTACACTGCGTTTGCGAGAGCCCAAGTCAGCAAAGTAGATTTCTGTAAAGAGAAGAAAATAAGCTTACATATCTCTTGTATCCAGTTTTGTAGTACTTGCTTAGCATGAGTATTTGAGCAGTGTGTGAAAACTTGTATTGCAGTAAATTAGTTACTCCTTAAATTGCTGCAGGACATTTTTGGCTACATCAGATGTAACAGCAAACCATGATTTGGCAGTACTTGAACAACAGTGCAGTCTTAAGCAGAGTACACCCTTCTGAGCTCATTGACTTCAGTTGGCTCAAACAGATTTAACTCTATTAAGGATTGCAATGCAGGTCTCAGTGGTCTGGTGTTACATGTGAATCGAGCTATTATCTTAACTGCTGAAACAGACTAACATAGCTATTAGTCTGGAATTTGAGCAGTATATGTTAAACAATGTTTTCTAAATTATTCTCAGGGATGTGATAGTCCAAAAGGGGACAGAGGTCCTCCAGGAACAACTGGTAGGCCAGGTCTTCTTGGAGAGGCAGGGTTGCCTGGACCACCAGGATATGGACCAGAAGGAATGGAAGGCCCTAAAGGAACTCAAGGAGCTCCTGGTTTGCCTGGTTTACATGGAGTAGCTGGTCAGTAAATTCCCTTTTTTTTCATTTTGATTGTGATATAAGTGGTAGATTTGAAAGCCAACTGCAGTAAAGATGTGGCACCAAATGAGGAGATGTCCTTATTTTATGTATTAGACAACATAATAGGTGGTGGCTGGAGATCACCTGGAGATCTCCCGGGATTGCAACTGATCTCCAGGTGACAGAGATCAATTCCCCTGGAGAAAATGGTTGCTTTGGAGGGTGGACTCTGTGGTATTATACCCCACTGAAGTCCCTCCTTTCCCCAAACCCCGCCCTCCCCAGGCTCGACCCTCCAAAACTCTAGGTATTTCCCAACCCGGAACTGGCAACCCAGGGAGCAAATATCAGTTCATTATAGTCTTTTGATTTTAAAACATTGATTTCTCATTTAACAACCATCGAGGAAATTTTCATTGCATTAGATGAGTCCTAAAATGTTTCCAAGTAAACACTAATGTTAATTAGGTATAATTCTCTTACATAAGAACAGGATAAAATACCTACATCTTCTCAGATGTATTTTGTACCTCAGAGTATAGGCAGGGTAAGAGGCACATCAGTTACTTGAATTTTTAGAATGACAGGTGTTCAACTGGATCATAAATGTCTCTGGAATGTATTTGCTATGTAGATGTGAGGATTAAGAGGGAAGAGATGGATTCCGCAAATGACATTTTTAGACTGATTAATCTGCAGTGGGATTCTATCATTCACAAGCATGCAAACAAAAAGTAGGTGGGAGGAAAGGGACTATCTACATTAATCATTGTAGAGTAATATAAACAAGATCATTTTGTGCCTGGGCTGAGTTGCATCTGAGTGCATTCCTAACTAATGAAGAAGTACTTTCCCACTAACCAGTGAAAACAATTTGTTGGTTATTACTGACCTTCAAGAATGAAATTCATTAATTTGTGATTTCTTTCTGATATGGATGTGATCCTTTTTTAAAAAAAAAAAATTTTTATTAGGATATGACATCAAATCAAACAATATAACATTTTTTCAGTCATTTTATATCCTTGACCTGTTCTCTTGTATTGTAGATGCCATTGTGATACCCTCAAGATGTATCTTGAAGAACCTTGTTGTTCCTG